AGTTCTCCTGCGTGGCCCACCGCATCGACCCACCATTTCACAGGGCGAGAAGGAGGTTACAAGCTCAAAGAGGGCGGCAACAGGTGGCGAGAAGACAGGACAGCGCAATGCGACAATCTGCAGGCTGACTTAGCGAGCTCGCGCCGAGACGGCGCTCTCCCTGATGGCCAAGCTGAAAGAGAGGGGCGCGGGCCAGGGGCCGCAGGGAGCGCCGGTGCGCGCGGCGAGACGCCCGGCATACAGAAGGGCGCCGAAGCTGCAGGGGCAGTCTACGGAGACAGCGACGCTACACCGCAGGTTGCGGAGGCAGCGGCTACAGTCGCTGGACGCGCTGGGGGCGGATATCGCGCAGGGCGCGGCGATGCAGGCAGAGGCAGAGAAGGTTAAGGCGGCGCGCAGCGACATGACAGCCAGCGCGAGGAGCATCTGCAAGTGGCTAGCGGACGCGGAGCAACAACCCGGAGTGCCCTATCGGATCACGAAGCCGCCGAACAGCAGAGAGGAGGAGATCCACGCTGGGGAGGGCACCAGAAACTGCCTGATGGAGCTTGTGGACGCGAAGTCGAGGGACTTTACGAAGATATGGAGGCGCGAGGAGGTGGCCCACAGCGCCCACAGGCAGCTACTAAAAGCGCTGAGGAGGAGAGCAGAGAGAACAGAGGAGCCAAAATGGAGGGTGGAGGACCTCGACAGGGCGCCCCAGGGCGAACCAGACACAGGACATGGGGTCGATCGGTCGATCGCCTGCAGCGCGGCGATCTGAGGCGGCTACCAGCAGCAGGTCGACAGCAGATCGTTGACCTCTTCAACGAGAGTGAGAGGACGCTGGCTAGGCCTTGGCAGCTGCTGTGCGCAGTGGCGACGCTGGCCCCGAAGCCGATCAAAGGAGACAGGGCGCCGGCACTGCTGCGCAGGCCTGCCGCCAGGCAATGGGCTAAGAGGCAGGGGCGCCCATGGGATGGAGCGGTCGCCGGCAACAGCTGCCTACGCGAAGCAACGCAGAGGATCGTCACGGACGAGTGATGCGACGCGCTGGGCATCTCCCAGGGGCGCGCGCTCGCGGACATCGAGAAGTTCGCCCCAGGATCCTGCCGATGCTGCTGCTGCAGCACTCGGCACCGCATTGCGCCGACCGCTGCATCCTGGCGGACTCGCGGCACTCTAACAACATTACCAGGACGGTGGTCCACGCGGCGCTGAGCTCCACGATGGGGAAGGCCAGCGGCATGCCGAGGCCAGTGGCCAGAGCATGGTTCGACGACACCAGCATCATTCGCATCACGGGCAGCGAGACAGAGGTGAAGAGGCAGCTCGTCGTGACCACGAAGGCCCTGAGGGACAGGCCGGGAGCGCACGGGCTGAGGCCGGCAGACAAGCCGGTCATCTTCAGCACGAGCTACCGCACCACGCGACAGGCGCAGCCGGCGCCGAGGAGGCCAGGCGCAGCGGCGAAGGCGACCACTGGGGGCAGCGACCTCGGAGACGACAGGGCGGCGCGAGGGGCGACCAGGAGGGCCACTCACGCGCAGAGAACGATGGCAGCGGGCAGGAGGTCCGGCGCAGTACGGGGCCTAGCTTAGGAGGCTCAGGCTGTGCAGGCGGCGAAGAGTCACGCACCAGGGCCCAGTTGCGTCGCTCATGCACGGCGCGGCGACGCATGGGCCGGCGCCGGCGACGATGGGGGCAGCGAGAAGGAGATGCGCACAAGCGCTGAGGAGGGCTTGACCAGGCAGGACCCTGACTAGCTTCCCGGCGCTTGAGGGAGAGGACCCAGCCACCGCGATCGCGAGGCATCAGCTGCGGGCGTGGTTCGTCCTCTGGGACAAGAGCGCAGACCAGAGGCCGCAGATCAGGAGGGCGCGGGCGAGGATATTTCAGATTGCAGGCACAGCCAGAGGTGAGGAGGTGGCATCAGAAGCGAGACGCGACGGGCAGCACCACCATCCTCGAGGATCCTCTGGGAGCTCGGCTGGGACACCAGGGCCCAGACGATTGGATCGACAGGCAAAGGGGTCACTGGAAGTTTCCGGGGGGCGAGGAGGCAGGAGACCCGCGCGACATGGCAGGTGCAAAGAGTTCGGCGAGACGGACTGCGGGTGCGAGCGCGGCGCGAAGGAGGACGACTTGCACCGCATCTGGGGCGCCGGCGAGGAGAAGCAGGAGAAGGCCATCCTCGCAAGAAGGCAAGGGTTAGAGGAGCGCACGAGGAGGGCCGCAGACAGCACGCCCATCTTCTGGCTAACGGGGCGCACACCCAAGGCCTGGACAGCGCCGCCGCCGCGCGACACTCAGGAGCAAGCATCGCCGGTGGGTGGGCGCCTGCTGCGCGAGAGGCTGCGAGGAGACAACGGCGAGCCCATCGCGGTGTGCGGCGATGCCTCGGGAGGCGAGCTCCTCAACGCAAACAAGAGATACAGGAGGTGCGGCTGGGGCTGGGCGGTGCTGGACACGACGGGCAGAACGCGGAGCTCACCCATCCGAGCGGCCAAGTTCGGGCCACTGTCTGGCAGCAGCCAGACCAACAACAGGAGCGAGCTGTGGGCTTTCACCGACAGCCTGGAGTCCACGGAGGGGCCGATGGTGCACTGGACGGACAGCGAGATCACCTTCAAGGGCTGGAGGGACCACCGAGAGGAGTGCGACCACAAGACCAGCGACAACAGCGACCTCTGGCGCAGAGCAAGGAGAGCTCTCCAGGATAGGCCAGGCACCAGAGAGGACATCACGATGCGCCACATGAACAGCCACATGGACGCACGGGAAACGGCGGATACATGGATCCCACGAGTCGCGTGTGAGGGCAATCGCGAAGCCGACAGGCTGGCCGGCGCGGGAGCAAGGCAGCACGCGATCAGCGAGGTCGAGATGAGCTGCTACGAGTGGGCACGGGCCACAGCACACCTTCAAGACGCGCATCGCGGAGCGCACCACGGACGCGATCCGCAGTGGGCCAGGCGAGAGCAGAGAGCTCAAGCGCGCCAGGCAAACAACGACCAAGGCTAGGAGAGCTAGAAGGACGCTGAAGCAGCGCTACCTGAGCTGCGACGCCGCGCTGCGGCCGAAGACGACACGCGCCCCGAGGAGATCGCGGCGGGGAGAGGGGGATGGCGACGCAGCTGCTGCAGGCAGACGGTGACGAGGCAAACGGCATTCAGCGGGCTCCAGGAGTGGTTCGCTGCGTAGCGCCCAGGGCCGCCGCCAGCAGAGGGAAGGTGCGTCACCTTCTACGGCGCGGAGTCTCACGAGACCCACCCGCTGCGACGGCTGGGGGGCGAGAGCAGGTGGTTTTGCACGAAGTGCGGGAGCTCGGCCGCCGAGATGGCGTCGACCAAGCTCCAGGCGCCCTGCCGAGGGCAGCCGAGCTGCGAGTCCAGGCGACGCCAGCTCGCCGCCTGGGCGAGGAAGGCCGACGGCGAGGAGTGGAGGAGGCCAGCGCGGCCGACAGGGGGGGGTGCTTTTTCATTCTTGGCAGGGCGCAGGGTTGAGGAGCCAGGCGAGGAGCAGCCATAGGAGGAAGGGGGGGCAACCAGAGGAGGCGACGGCCGTGGCGTAGTGGTTAGTCAGGGGGGCTGCCATCACAGTGCCCACGTGCCGGAGCCGAGTCTGAACCGAGCTGGACCTGGCGCCGCTGACGCAACCGGGGGGGTGCTCGAGAAGTCTGACGGGGACAGGCCAGAGGAGTAAGAGGAGGCAACCAAAGGAGGCGACGGCCGTGGCGTAGTGGTTAGTCAAGGGGACTTCCATCACAGTGCCCACGTGCCGGAGCCGAGTCTGAGCGGAGCTGGACCTGGCGCCCCCGAGGGAGGCGAGGCGGCAAGCGGTGATCTGCGTGAAACAGTTACTGGAGGGCGAGCTGCTGGTCAGCGAGAGGGGGAGAGACAACAGGCGAAGCAGGAGAAGGGCCCGATGGGGGCACGAGAGGAGAGGGCTGCCGAGCACAGCCAGAAGCAGGAGAGGCCGCCGAGGCCAGCGGGCAGAACGCAAGGAGAGCTGGTAGGGCGTACGACGACGCAGCCGACAGCAAGCCTGCATGCGCAGGACCAGCTGCTGGGGACCCAGCGCCCCCCCGAGACCGCCGAAGGCAACAGGAGGCACAAGGGGCCGAAGAGGACGCAAGGAAGATGAGGCCAACGGGGCGCCGCCGCCGCCCGCAAGCTCAGGAGTGGCTCCCGGAGGCACGCCAAAGCGGTCCTGGAGTGTGGGCGGGCACAGGTCCGCGGCCCACGCGGCGGCGCCCCGCGGCCCCAATGCGGCCGAGGAGGCCAACGCCGAGGCCAGCGCCGACGCCGCCGCGAGGGCCCGCCGCGACTTCGATTTCGCGTGCCTCGTGGAGGCGGCCTGCGGGCGCGGCCCACGGCCGAGGAGGCCAGCCCGCAGGGCCAGCGCGGACGCCGCCGCGAGAGCCCGCGCGGGAGAGCGCGGCCCGCGGCCGAGGCGCCAAGCCGCGGCGGCGCACCCGCGGCTGCCCGCCGCCCACTTCCCCAGCGCGGGCGCCCTCTCTCGTTTTTTTTCTCTCTCCCTCTCTCTTTTTTTTCTCTCTCTTTTTTTTTTCTATTTCCCTGCGCGACCGACCGCAGTCGCTTCTGGAAGCGTCCCAGAAGCGTGCCTCGCATCTGTCCTTGTCCCCTCGGTGCGCCCCCCGGGCCTCCAGAGGCCTCCAGGGTTTTCGGGAGGCACCCCTTCGAATTACTCCAGCAAAGCACCCTACTGGCGGCAAAAGTGAAGAGGCGGGTCGAGGAGCACGGGGCCGGCTAGGGACAAGACATCGGATCTCTGGGGAGGAGGGGGAGGGAGCGGGAAATGAGGGAGAGAGCGGGGAGGAGGAGGAGGGAGGGCCCTCCGTTCTCTTCTCCCTCATCCTCCCTCCCACCCCCCCGCCACGACGACGACGACGACGACGACGACGACGACGACGACGACGACGACGACGACGACGACGACGACGACGACGGCGGCGGCGGCGGCGGCGGCGGCGGCGGCGGCGGCGGCGGCGGCGGCAGGTCTTCGAGGAGCTCCACCTCGGGGCAATGGCGGCCGAGGTGCGGCTGCGCCCCAGCCGTCGGGGGGGAGGTCCGAGGCCGTCGCCCCCTGCCGCCGCCAGCGGCGCCGTCGTCTTCGTCGTCGTCGCCCTCGCCGTCTGCGGTGCCTCGGTTGCCATCCTCGTCGTCGTGTTCGTCGTTGACGTCGTCGTCGTCCGTCTTCGCCGCCGCCGTGTCAAGCATGCTTGCCGTCGTCGTGCTCATCATCGTTGTGGTGGTCATCGTCGTCGTCGTCGTCTCGATCGGCGTCGTCGCCGCGTGGAATCGGCCCCCGGACATCTCCGGGAGCGCGTTCCGACCCGGGCGTGGCCAGGATCTCGGGGCGGGCCCAGCCGTGGCGATGAGAGGCCCTCGCGGCCCGAGGGAGGAGAAGGTGGTAGATATTGCTGCCGCCCCAGATCCGAACCCCGGAGGTCCCTAAAAATCTGAGGCCTCCTGAGCCCCCCCCCCTCAAAGAGAGGGAAGCAGCAAATCCTGAAAGCTGCCCCCTTCGGAGGAGGAAGGAAGAGGAGGAGGAGGAGGAGGAGGAGGAGGACGAGGACGAGGAGGAGGAGGGGGAGGAGGGGGAGGAGGAGGAGGGGGAGGAGGGGGAGGGGGAGGAGGAGGAGGAGGAGGAGGAGGAGGAGGAGGAGGGAGGAGGAGGAGGAGGAGGAGGAGGAGGAGGGGAGGAGGAGGAGGAGGAGGAGGAGGAGGAGGAGGAGGAGGAGGAGGAGGAGGAGGGGACGGGGGACGAGGAGGAGGACGAGGAGGAGGACGAGGAGGAGGAGGGGGAGGAGGGGGAGGAGGAAGAGGAGGAGGAGGAGGAGGAGGACAAGGACAAGGAGGAGGAGGAGGAGGAGGAGGAGGAGGAGGAGGGAGGGGCGAGGAGGGGAGACCAGAGTATAGCAAGGATGCGGCAACAGTGCTGCAAGACACCCTCCTGTCCCAAGTCCCCCCCTCTTGCATTCCAGTAGGTCTTCCTCGCTTCTGCGGGAAACGCCCCCTTGAGTGACGAGAGCCTGGTCTGCGTGACGCGCAGAGGAGACCTCGTTGTATAAAAGGATTCACCCTCCATCATTCTAGCTGGGAGAACGCAAGAAAGTAGGATGACAAATTTTAAGAAAGTCTCCAGCGCTAGCCCCATTTCATTAAATATACGATTTGTTTTCTGTCCGTATAGGTGCTGCAAAGGTTCGAAGTGCGCGCCCACACGTTTGCTGGAAATTGACGCGAAAGCTACATGTTGAAAAGGAGCCGCGCTTCATCCGAACAGCTGCTGCACAGCTTCAAATTTCAAATCCGAGAACTTGAGTACGTGTCGATCGAGAGCCGCATGTAGAAAACGGCCAGCCATCCATCACTCACAATGTTGGCTTAAGAACGAATGTGCGCAGCACTGAGACGATAGCCGCCTTTTGAAAACGATGGGCCCTCCATCCTTCTAGCTGCTCGAATATTTCGAAACGAGTGCGCACGGCGCTAGGGCGGGAGCCACGAAACCGCCGGCCCTCCATCCTTGTAACGGTTGAAAGATCTAAAACCAAAGATGCGCGGAGTTACGGCGAGAGCCGCATTTCGAAAACGACCAGCCCCCCGTTCTCCTTTGGCCACGCGCAGAGGGGGGTATGGGGTAGGAGGCTTGTTAGAAGCACCCTGCTTCTTAGAAGGCGCGGCCATTATCTGTCCACGTGAGGCCCGCGCCTTCTATGAAGCAGCCTCCTAAGAAGCATCCCCCCTCCCCCCTACCACCTTGTGCGCGCCACCAATCCTAATAACTGCTAATAGTTGTTAGGCGTCAGGATAGCAGGATAGTGCAGTATCAGGCGAAAGGGCCGGCCCAGCATACGGACACGCGCGGAGCGCGGCAGGGCGAGGTTGTTTGCAAAGACGAGGGATGAAGGATTGTAGTGTAGTGTTTATACCCTTGAGGGTAGGCATAACCGTGTAAAGTCGGATGGGGCACGAGGGCTCACCCATCCCTGGAACGGTGCCCCAAGGTACAAGGACCGTTGCAGGCACCTGGTACAAGTGTCAACGAACCACTAGTCAGCCACCTCCGATGTGATATACGTTGGTCCTTGCTCAGCCTGTGCGCCAGAGAAGTTCGAGCGGATCTGCACACGCCGGAGGCAATTGTATTTGAGAGGCTACGTTTTCCTCGCCTCCTGCTGGCTTGGAGGAGGCGGCGGAGTAAGGACGCCAAGGCACTGAGTGGGGGGCATTGAGACTACGCAGCGCTGAGTGCGCTTGCGTGCACGTGCGGCAGGGTGAGACCAGGGGGTGGGTGGATGGTAAATGTGGACAACGTAGCCCCAGGCCACCTCGCACGGCATCTTAGGTTTGACAGGGGGCACCTCGGTGGCCCAGATTGCCAGAAGGAGAACGTGGGAGGAGGCAGGAGGAGGAGTAACAGGAGGAAGAGAAGGAAGAGCAGGAGGACGAAGAAGAGCAGGAGGACAAGGAAGAAGAGGAGAAGGAAGAAGACGAGCAGCAGGAGGAGGAGGAGGACGTGAAGCCCCTGTCGCCCAGGTGCAGGGCGCGTGGAACGAGTTCCTCCGCAGCGCCGAGTCGCGCGAGGCGGCGGGGGCAGGAGGAGAAGGAGGAGGAGGAGGGATGGGACATGTGTCGTCCGTCACTTCTCCAGGGTCGGCTACGTCCGACGCTTGCTGGAAGTCCTGTGTTCTGGTTGTGTTTGTCGCTGGGAGTCGCTGGGGGTCCTTTGGGCAGTTCTTATACGCAGTATCCCTCGTAGGTTATCACCGCTGGTTTCAAACCGCTGGCGCATCGGAGAAAAACTGCGTGTGTGTGTGTAAGTGTGTTTGTGTGTATGTGTATGTGTAGGTGTGTCTGTGTAGGTGTGTGTAGTTGTGTGTATGTGTATCTGCGTGTGTCTACGTGTATGTGTATGTGACATACTGTATGTGTGTATGTGCATGTGTATGTGTATATGTATGTGCATGTGCATGTGCATGTGTATGTGTCGGAGGTGAGGGGGTGAGATCGAAGTGGAACGGGGAGCCCCCCTACTGGGAAATCGATGTCGGTTTCGTGTTCGTGCGTGCCGTGCGGGCGAGGCGAAGCTGCGTGGGCGGGCAAGAGAAAGTCTCCTGTGGCTGAGGCGCGGCCGGACCAAATGTCTCCCTTCCGGGCGGCCGGGGGCCCGCGGTGTCCCGCCGGTGTCCCGCTGGTGTCCCCTGTGGCTGAGGCGCGGCCGGACCAAATGTCTCCCTTCTGGGCGGCCGGGGGCCTGCGGTGTCCCGCCGGTGTCCCGCTGGTATCCCGTGTGGCTGAGGCGCGGCCGGACCAAATGATTCCCTTCCGGGCGGCCGGGGCCCCGCAGTGTCCCGCGGTGTCCCGCTGGTGTCCCGCCCGTGTCCCGTTGATGATGATGATGATGATGATGATGATGATGATGATGATGATGATGATGATGATGATGATGATGATGATGATGATGATGATGATGATGATGGTGAGTTCGGTAGTGAGATCGATAGTGAGACCGAATGTGAGATCGATTGTGAGATCGTTTGTGATATCGATAGTGAGATCGATAGTGAGACCGACTGTGAGATCGATAGTGAGACCGATTGTGAATTCGATAGTGAGATCGATAGTGAGACCGAATGTGCAATCGATTGTGAGATTGATTGTGATATCGATAGTGATACCGAACGAGAGATCTATAATGACTTCGATAGTGAGTTCGATAGTGAGATCGATAGTCGGATCGACTGTGAGATCGATTGTGAGATCGGTTGTGATATCGATAGTGAGATCGATAGTGAGACCGAATGTGGGATCGGTTGTGAGATCGATAGTGATATCGATTGTGAGATCGATCGAATGAGACCGATAGTGATATCGATAGTGAGATTGTTAGTGAGACCGAATGTGAGATCGATTGTGAGACCGCTTGTGATATCGATAGTGGTCAATAGTGAGACCGAATGCGAGATCGATTGTGCGATCTATAGTGAGATTGATTGTGAGATCGATAGCCAGATCGATTGTGAGATCGATCGAATGAGATCGGTAATGAGATCGATGGTGAGATCGATCGTGAGATCGATCGAGTGCGACGGTGGTCCCTCCCCCCCCCTCACCTCCTTATCACCCGAAGGGTGGTCTATGCGGTATGTGCATGTGTAGGTGTGTGCGTGTGTGTGCGTGTGCTGTGTGCTGTGTGCTGTGTGTTGTGTGCGTGTGTGCGTGTGTGCGTGTGTGCGTGTGTGCGTGTGTGCGTGTGTGCGTGTGTGCGTGTGTGCGTGTGTGCGTGTGTGTGTGTGTGTGTGTGCGTGTGCCTTTTCAGTCATTTCAATGACCTCTGATGCAATTTCAGCACACACAGGCTTCTAGGTTTGTGATTTCTCATTGGACACTAGCTCGGAACCTGTATGCTCTGACTCTTTTGTTTTCATGTCTCGGGCCGTCTGCGTTCGGTAATCCGCGCGTCGACGTCTTTGGGACTCTTGGGATCCTGCTGGTGTGCCAGTGCAGGCTCTCTGTTTTCCTCTTCCTTTCTCCCCTGCTTGTTCTCTTCTTCGCTTCCGTCCTCTCGCCTCCTGGCCGTGCCCCTGCTCGCTCGCTCCCCTCGCCTGCGCCTCCTGCCTGTGATCCTACCAGACAGCTGCCGTCTGGGTTTTCACATTGCAGCCTTTTTGTTCAAAGCCTCCGAGCGGGGGGGTTAGGAGCTCGCTCAAGGCCGAAAGGCCGCAAATACGTATTGGCTCCCCGCCCGGCTGCGCGTGTGACAAGAATTGTTACCTCTGTGCTTGATTGTCTACGCCTATCGGCGATTGAGGCTTCGCTTCTCCTGGCAGTCTACCGTGGTGACGTCTTGGGAGCTGGTCTGCAGGAGCCTGGGTATCTTGATAACGACAACTCATCCAAGTGCGACGCGGGGAGAGTGGAGCGCCGATCCGTCCAGACAGCGTGTACCGCACCCCGCCTACATATTCCAATTCCATTCCATATTTTGTTCTCCATAGTTGTTCTTCCCAGGCTTTGATGGAACAGGTGCTTTTAGGCCAAGAATTGGTATTAAAAGTTGGAGAGTTCGCCAGCTCAGACAGCAGATGGCTGAATCACATATCTACGATAAACATCACCACGTGGCGGACACACAGAGTCTACAACGAAGCGATCAGGGCTATGTACATGAATCTGCAGGAGCTACGACAGGCCCACGCCGACTTCCAGTCCACCCAGTGGTACCGAGATCAATTTCAACGATGGTTGGAATATCGCCGCTGGTTGGCCGAAGTGTAACCTCCGTGGTGATGAAGTGGACCCGCCTCCTGCTGGAGGCCATCCTTGCCATGCTTGCCATACTTGTTGTACGTCGCCCCCGTTTCCCGCTTCGACCAATCCTCTTTTCGTATGTATACATGGCTGTACAGGTACTCTCCAGGGTGAATGTGATGAATACCTTCATACTCATATGGACACGCGGCAGTCTCTTTCGGCACTACCTGGACCCCAGATCCTCCCCGTAGTGATGCAGGAACTTCGGGCGACGATGGGCTGGTCCACCAAGATCTCAATCTACAGCGACCTACGGAGTCAGCAACGACACGGTGGTGTGACGGCTATGATATTGGCTTCAGGTTTGTGGCAGATTCTTGTGTCGGCTCCATCCACGCGGTATATAGACTATGTGCATCTTGTTCAGAAGGAGCTCCTCGGGCTCCTCCCGCGTGCAGGTGTAAGCCCGTGCGTCTCGACCGTGGTCACGGCCCTCACGGTTACTCTCACGTTGTGTCGCATTCGAGCCCTTTTCACAGGTGGACGCAAGGGGCGTCAACAGGCTCGCAAGTTGATCCATAACCTTCCCCCACGCCTGGCTTCAGCCTTTGATCGGAAAGGTGACGCCACTGTCGCATGCGCTTGAACTGTTCACCTTTGTTTATCTGCAGGCAAAATGTATTTCAGATCCTACGCCGAGGTCCTCGGGGCACGACCCAGGTTCCTTCAGCTTTGTTTACCAACTTGGCTCCGACTGTCTCTATGTGGGTCAAGGTTCCATGGTGCGGCACTCTAGCGGGCACTCTGGTGGAGTTGGGCGCTTCCGCGAGCATTTACGATGCCCCCGCTGTATTTCCAACGGGACCCCAACTAAGGGGCGCAGTCGGTACCTCCTGCTGGCCCCTGGGTGCTCCTCCTGGCCCCTGATGCTCTTTCTCGCTGTTGTACCCTCCTCCCAAGCCCACGCTCAGGAGGGCGCGTTTATTGCCTACTCGCGACCCGCGGCCAACAACCTGAGTAATCCCCATTTTGGGCGTCTACGGGCAAGGTGCAGGGAGGCCCCCAGAAGGCGCAGACACCGGTCCTGTAGGCGCCAGGCTCTACCTCATTGTGGCGCTCAAACTGTGTTAAGCCAATCTTGGTATGAACGACGCATGGCGTCTCTCTGCACTAGGTACATGGGCTTCTCTAGGTACCTCGCGGGCCGACATAAGTGGCAACATTTTCTCAAACACAAATACGGTGATCTCTATGACCGCCTCCTCCAACAATGGACTTCGCAGGGTTTAGGCTACGGACCCCTCAACATCCTGGGGGCGGGTCAGACGGTCCTTACGATGAAATGGATTTCTGCGCACCCCCGCGCTATTCCTTGGGAGTGCATCTGTCGGGGCCGACGGCATGGTTCCGACTTCCTGTATCATGTGTGGGAGTTTACGACGTTGTATCCCCATTGGATGGATCGGGTAAGGGTTCGATCGTCCCTGAAGGCCTACCTCAACAGTCTGCGACTGCCCGCCCCTGTGCCGACAGTGATCAAAGTGTCTCACAGCTCGGAGGTAGCAGCTGTGCGCGGCTGGCTGGCCAACGGCCCAGCAAGCCCGACCTACCAGGCCAGCTTGGGCCACGTGGGCCGCCAAGTCAGCACGGATTCTGGTCCAGACAACGCCGTGCATTCGAGGAGGTACGTGCGGCATTGCTCGCGCTTTTCGAACCATGCAGTTTGACCAGCTTGCCTCTCTCACTTTAGATGACTTCAAACGCGCCGCCAGAGGCGACGACGTGGAACGAATCCCCGTGAACGGCCGCATTTCCCTTCTCACTCCAACCTCCTCATGCGCCCGCACGAAGGATACCCGAGCCTCTTGTAACAAATGGCTGGCCTCTCAAGGCCTGGATAGGACCCAGTTTTCCCGTTTTCGACGGCCTCCTCCACGACCCACCCCTGAAGGACCCCAAGATGAAGGACCCTACCGACACTTGACTGCAGCACGAAGTAAGTTCGAGGAAAGGGCTTATAAGGCTCGCCAGGTTCGCACGTTTACTGTGGAAGGTAAAGATCCGAACACTATGTGGAAAGTCTCTGGGATCTATCATCTAGCTCGGTGGCTGGCTATGAACGCTCGGGCTCCTACACGGTGGAGGGTAATCAATGCCCCTGCGATGGCTGTGGTTTCTTGGTATCGGTTACTATACGATTACACCATCCCCAAGAGCATGCGGTCACCTGGGGAGGGCCCTCTAAACCAATCCCACATTCCATGCATCTACCCAACGGTCAAGCTGAAGTGCTGGTGCGGTGATTTTAAGATCCCACCTGACGGCCAAGC